ATCTTGGTAATTAAGCCCACGATGAATATTTTCATTTTTAAAATGTATTTTCAAAAAGTTAACAAAAGGTAGTAGGTCTTTCCAGTTCACAATCAATGTCATGTTCTTCTTAAAAAGTTTCCTATTGGGCCATCAGAGCCAAATCCCCGCTTTTCTTTCTGTATGTTATGGATGTTGGATTGCTGCTCATGAATGTGATAACACACATAAAATATGCAACATTTTAAAGACTGATTCAAAACTGATTAATAGTAAGGATAAAACAAGAACAAATGAACTAGATAACCAGTTCTTAGAAATTCTGAGTCAGAAAACATGAGAGCTAGAAACTTAGGGAACAGACTATCTGCACTGCTTCTCCCGAAGACCTTTAAACAGTACCTGACAGCATATATCAGTGCCACACCAGTGCACTTTGGAATTAAAGGGGATATTTAAAAAGTCTGCTCTTTTAATTGGGGTTGGGGAGTTGCAAAGAAAAACAGCAGTTCAGAAACTCATGTTTCTGCGTTTCTTTTAAAAGATTTTCACCTCATCCTATTTTCTAGAGCAGTTTGTTGAACTAAAGCTCTGCTGTATTTCATTCATTGATTGTTTCAGTAATTTGCTGGTCAACAGAAAGACAACGCTGCTGTGTGGAACTCCAAAGGCAAACCTATGAACCTTTTTTGTCTCAAAGCCAAAGGATGCCATGTCATATGCCTTTCAAACCTCATCATCCCTCCAGTTCAGTACCAGCCCTGAAGGTTATTGGAGCCTTGTACTTAGTTGACATTTAGCCAACTACTGCACTATACTTAGAACTGGATATAAAAGAGCTGGGTGTGCTCTTAGTCATCCCTTTGATTTAAGATGCACACATTCAAGGTTAAGAGCACAACATGGATGGACTTACATGGGAAGGCTGCTCAAGAAATATAGCCCTTAGGAGGGGTCCCTGAGGTCACCCAGCTACCCGTGTTTCCCCCAAAATAAAGAATGGCTCATGTATTAATTTTTTGCTTCAAAAGACGCATTAGGGCTTATTTTCCAGTTAGGTCTTATTTTAGGGGGGGGGAATACGGTAACTAAATGCAGTCCACCTGGCTGATGATCTTAACCAGGGTTTATTTTGTGGGTAGGGCTTGTATTACGAGCATCCTGAAAAATGTTAGGTCTTATTTTCTGGTTGGGTCTTATTTTCGGGGAAACACATTATCTGACTGGCTCGGGGGTTGTCAATAAATCTTTCTGGGACAGTTAAATCCAGTTTTTTTGGATTGGCAAGACAGAAATGTACCCTTGATCAGATCTCCAACTTTTTCCTGGTGTAAATGCATCTATCTTTACTTGAGTTGTTAAAAGATCCATTTTCCGCATCACAATTTAGAAGCTGGGACGAGGGCTGGCTTCACACCACTCCAGACAGCTTGTCCTCCATTGTTCAACCCACCTGGATGCTTCAGTTAAACTTAAAAACTTACTGACCAAACAAGGACAGTTCAACTTATGCTTTATTTTCAACATCTCTCTACCAGAGAGGCCATTTTACAGCTGGTTCACTTTTTTAGCACAAGTCCTTTTGCTTGTGTTCCTTCCGGTATTCTTAATTTGTGCTGTACTGGCCTCCAAGGAGTGTAGGAGAAAAAGGTGATTACTCTGCTGACTACTGGTACCTTGAAGGAAATAGATTTTGGTTTTCTACAGGTAGTCCTCGATTTACGACCATAATTGAGCCCAAAATTTATTGCTAAGTGAAACATTTATTGAGTTTTGCCCCATTTTATGATCTTTCTTGCCACAGTTGTTAAGTGAATCCCTCAAGTTATTAAATTATTGACAGTTGTTAGGTTGCAAAAAGGGGATGACATGACCCCAGCAATGGTCATAAATATGAATCAGTCACCAAGCATCTGAATTTTGATCATGTGACCATGGCTGCAATGGTTGTGTGAAAAACAGTCATGTCACTTTTTAGTGCTGTTGTAACTTTGAAAGTTCACTAAAAGAACTGTTGTAAGTTGAGGGCTACCTGTACTGTCGTCAACAAGATTTGAGAACAAAGGGAAAAAATCCAGCTCTACTCAACAGCCTCTTAAATTCTCCATAGCTAACCCAAAGGGGCTTTCTTCAAGAGGCAATTGGACTTTCTGGTTTTTCTTTGTGAAGACATTTTGCTTCTCATCCAAGAAGCTTCTTCAGCTCTTCTTGGATGAGAAGCGAAATGCCTTCAAAGAAAAAACAGAAAGTCCAGTTGCCTCTTGAAAGGCACTTTTGGGGCAACCATGACCTGGATGATACTGAGAATCTCCATGTTTGCATTTCAGTTGCTGGAATTTCAACAAAGGGAAATACTTTTTACAAGCTTGATACACCTGGCCTGACCAACGCTGAAGAAAAGATGCTTGAAGTGGCCAAGCAAGGCTTCTTCCCAGGTGGAGAAGGCCTGGAAAACATCTTACTCCTTGATTTAAGCAGGTGGCCTCTTCATATATAGCAACATCCACCTGCTGCTTTTGTGGGCATCTCATCAAGACAGGCAAAGCAGCTGAGGCTGAGCAGGTGCCAAGAACAAGGGCAGAACTCTCTCTCTCTCCTGCTGTACTCCAAGATTCAGGGTGAGCTTTCTACTGGGTATTTTCAAACTGCAGTTTCCTTGGAGCACAGCCTGAAGGCTTTTTAGGCTGTGGCGGCTAACCACAATGCATCAGGAAAGGAAGAACATTAATAAAAATAAGGAGGGAGGGAAGGATTGAGACACAATTATTTTTAGTTACTTAGCGCAGGCTTCCAAGTATTTGTACAGCTCCTCCTCTTGTGCAGCTATTCTAGACGCAGATCTGGGGAGGAGTGAGTGAGTCATAGCACAGCTGAGCCAGCACCAGGCCTGCAAAAGCAAGTGTGAAGAAAGTGCTCTTGGGGGAGGCACCTATCCCCCCACACCCCCCCAAAAAACAAAGGCCAACTGTCTGTTCACCAGTCATGGAAAGAGCAACAGAGAAGCTGGTTTTCCTTAAGGGTCACGCCATGTGGTGCAGTTTGCTTACAGGAGAGAGACCTTATTGTGCCTGGAACCCCATTGCCTCGCACACAGAAACAATGCCTTCCAGGTTAAGAGAATGGCAAGAGGTGGTAGCATTTGAAATGTGGATTTGCAGGCGGCTGTTACACATAAGCTGGCTTGACAAAATCAGAAATGAAGTGGTGATAAGCCGCCTGGGAAAGCCAAGGGAAATCATCAAAACCATAAAAAAGGGAATGTTAAAATATTTTGGACATGGCATGCGACATCCAGAAAGATACGGTCTACTTCACTTAGTCCTCCAAGGAAATAATGAAGGCAAATGAGGTCCAGGCAGAAGATGATCATGGCTCCCAAATCTAAGGGACAAAACTTAGCAGCACTTTTTCATGTGACTGCTGATAAAAATAGGATCGCCAACGTCTGATGACGAATATGGCACACCACCAAGAAATGGTGGCAACACCAGATTCTGGGTGGGAAAGAATGAAATTTTCTGCAATCACTATTTGCATTTGCCCTGCCAACCCCCCACCACCCCCCAACCAAAAATCATATACAGATCAGTCCCCAACTTATAACCGTCATCGAACGGAATTTTCATTGTATGTCATGACGGTTGTAAGTAGACACGCTCTTGTGACCAACCCTGTTTTAAAGTTTTTTTGCAGTGGTCATTAAGCAAACCCATTTTCCACAATGGGTGTTGTTTTTTTTGCCAGAAACCAGAGGTAGATGCTGGTTTCCGGCAAAAAAAATAAAAATAGCGGTCATATGAACATTAAGATGCTGCCAACGACCATAAGTGCAGGCTAGTTGCTAAGTGCCCAAAATTCAGTTAGGTGACTTGTGGGGTAGGGGTGGGAAGCAGCCATTGGAACTTCAAATCCGGGTCATAAAAACCATTGGGGTGGGTCTGTTGTGACTGGCCATAAGTTGAGGATTACTTGTAATAACTTTCGTAGCAAATAGACTCCCAGGTGAATCCTGTCTTTCCCATCTGTAAGAAAAGGTGCAGTCCCATCTGCCTACAGAAGTAAAAGGAGGCCTCAAAAACCAGACAACATTCACTTGGAGTTTTCAAACGAAAGAAAGCAAAACAAGGTCTGTTCCAAGAGGAAAAAGATGCTATGCAAGAGAAGAAATCCGGTACAGGCCAGAAAAAAGGGAGTTTACCTGTTCTTGAGTGTGATTACTATACCTGGATAACATTTTCACAGGCCCGCTCATTAACATTGCCACCCACTTTTCTAAAACATACACACACAGTAACAGATAAAACTTTATTCCACCTGTAACAGACAGCAGGCCAAAAACATTTAAAAATGTTTTTACCCAAAATATTGCAGCTGCTTTTTGTTTTTATCAGTATTGACTAATGGGTTATGTTAAGTGCTGCTTCTAAAATGGTATTTTTGAAACTGTCATCTGAAATCCAATCTTTACCTCCCTCTTCAGCTGAGACACCTAATTCCATTTAGGACACTTTGAAGCGTATTGTGTGTGTGGAACTTGTGAAATTTCACTTCCTATGTATGGATCATTAGCAAAATTAGTCAGGACAGATGGAGCCCAGCATCTGGATCCAAACCTTTGAAGTACAGCTTTTTCTAAATCTTGCCTCAGTTTAAGGCTTGCCATGGGATACGGGTGTTCTCTTTTTGGGCTACAGAAAAGCTGCTCCATGTGGGCAAGGGAGGCCACATTTCAGTTGTTTAAAACAGAAATTCAGCACTGAAAACAGTCTCTATAGGTCACTAAAAGTATTATTTCTCAAACTGGGCGAAAAAGTAAGCCTTTGAAAGGCAAAGTTGTTGAATTCCCTCTTCAAAGTCGTCCAATTCTTTAAAAAATTATCTCGCTAGACAATAAAAAGATCGCGAGGTAAGTTGTTTCATTGCTTTAATTCTTCTCCCCAGCTGCTAAATTCTGGGAATTTTGGCTGCCAAGAACCCAGGATTGCAAATCTTCACAACACAATCCATTTTTGCTTGCTTAAATGCATTTCATGGTTTTATCAATTAGAATGAAACTGCTCACACACAAAAACTGCACATTATCTCTCCAATTTCAAAAAATGTGAACTTGGCTAAGCTAGTCATTTAGTAATTCCAAGAAGAGGGGAGTCCGTTGAGCCCTCTCCATCGGTGCCCACTCAAACAGAAGCTAAACTACATGTCTGAATGGTAAAACACGTGTAAACCCTCATAAGATGTCCAATATCCCAGTTATTCACATTTTTTAAAAAAGTACAACTTTTGTTTTGTTAAGGGGAGACAGCAAACTAGTATGTCCCAATGACACAGCATCTGGGCGCAGAGCACTCCCCGGCCACAGTTCAGCTTCTCATTGCTTTGCCGCTTGTCTCCCTGGCTTCTTTTCTTGCTGACCTCGGCCACTCCCTGGGATTCCCCCTCGGCCACGACCTCCGAACACTCCTGTAAACAGAAAGGGAAGCATTACCTCAGGGAGGGAGGGAGGGAGGGAGGGGCTTGGAGACAATACCACCCACATCACACACACCATGATGAGCAGGTACGTATCAACCAGACCTCTCCGAGATCAATCTCTGCCAGGTTTTTATGACCAGTACTGATCAACAGTGTCAGGGTTCAGGTGCTTTGTTTAACAATTGGTTGCTGAATAAGCCACTTAAATTTATTACATTTTTTAATTTTGACTTTAATTTACTTTATGAGTTACTCAAGGCAGTGGGCATAAATATTCCTCTCTTTTCCCCGTAACCACCGTGTAAGGTGGGATGGGTTGAAAGAGAGTGATTGGCCCAAAGTAATCCAGCCAGCTCTCATGCCTGAGGCAAGACGAGAACTCACCGTCTCCTGATTTCTAGGCCAGCACTTAGCAATGCATGCTCCATATAGTAGGAAGAATTTTGCTGGACCAAAAAAATCCAGCAAACCTGTTGCCAATAGGTGTCAGAAACATGCATCCAGGCTAAAGAAACTCCTAAATCGCTGCCTCCTTCTACTTGCTCTCCAACTTTTGATATTAAGAGAAAGAATGCTCAAGCAAGAGCCCTATACTGTTCTGGATAAATGGCTGCCCAGTCATTTTAAGAAGAGACGCACCCTCCGCTTCTGGAACTAAGCTATTCCACTGATTAACTGATTGAGGAGAGCTTGAGCCAAATTATCAGTGCCATTGAGAGTTACTGCTCTTCTAACGTCCTAGGAAAGTAATGTGTGATCTTCCAAATGCCTCCAGGGAAAGCTTTTTGAGTTAGACTACTATTAGGATACTAACGATTTATCTTTTAAACAAATCTTATGCCAATTATATGCAGCTAACAAAAAGGCAGGAATGGACTCTGCCTTGAAACTTGCAGTACATTTGGGGGGGGGGGGGGAATGACAACTGGAAGAACATTCGCTTTGCCCTTTCAAGTGTCCTCAGAGGAAATACGGCCAAGCTGAGACACAAGTAGATACAGATGATTTAGGGGATGGAGTAAATAAAAAGGTGGTCCTCTTCTTCAAATTATGTCTAGTGAAGAGAATGACCAGGGGAGACATGATAGCAGTGTTCCAGTGTCTCAGGGGCTGCCACAGAAACAAAAGGAATCAAGCTATTTTCTAAAGCACCCAAAGGCCAGACAAGGAACAATGGATGGAAACTGAACAAGGAGAGATTTAACCTGGAAATAAGGAGAAACTTTCTGACAGTAAGAACAATCAACCCATGGAACAGAAGTTGCCCCCGGAAGTTGTGGGAGTGCCATCACTTGAGACTTTCAAGAAGAGATTGGACTGCCATTTGTCAGAAATGGTGTAGGGTCTCCCGCTTGGACGGGGAGTTGGACTAGATGACCTACAATGTCCCTTCCAATTCTGATTATCTGTTATCTGTTATGATGATCTGATAAACTGCTGGCAAGTAGGGCAGATGAAAAGGAACTTCACACAGCACTTCACTTATGGAGTTCACGGTTGGATGACTTTAATATTTATGGAAAACTTCTGAGAAGTACTAACAGAACACTCCACCTCTCCTGACAAATGCCCTAAATACTAAAAAGGTGAAATGTAATATATTCCAGATGTAACATCAGCTAGGATACCAAGATTTACTGAAAAGTTGTATCCTACACTTTGGTACAAGAACTGAAGCAAGGGGATACTAAACCAATCCCTTACATTGGCCAGAGCCTGAATAGCTGCAGAGTTTGCTTTACCATTCCTGCTGTGGAGCTAAGCTCCTATTGAAACAGAGGTGAATGGGTAAGACTTACAGCTTTGCTTAGTCAGGCTTAATTTAGCCAGAATTTCCTAAATAAACCCCGTTATGGCTTCAAACAAAATCCTACCTAAAAGCAACACATTATGGCTTAGTTTAGTGTAATGTTTGAATGGGATCATTCAGGAAGTTTTCAACCCCACTGCTCCAAGTGTTGAGATTTTAATGACCAAGGAAAGCAGTTTCCAAACTTCTTCCAAAGATTAAATAGAGGACTGACCTCGCCCAGGGCCACCAATGCCGCGGCCTTTCTGCTGCTTCTGTTGCTGCATCCCACCACGGCCCCTGCCTTTGGAGACCACCTCTTCTTTCACCATATCTATGATCTCATCAGGAATTCGCAGGTATTTGATGGTGCTGCCACGGATGTAACATTCAGGCATCCTCCAGAATTTATCTCCATCCTTTCCAAGAAAATACACAAGGAAGAAGGATGTGCAGCATCAGACTACTGTCACCCTCAGCAGCCTGAGAGTATTTTGAATGTTGAATTATATGGATTTATATTCCTTATCTTTTTACAAAACAATGGTCTGATTAAAAATCAGTATCATGGAAAGATACACCAAATATTTGAGTTCTCCAAAAATAATAATGTTCCTTATGTCAGATGTATGTTGAAAGTTGTTTTTTGACATATTAAAAAAATGGCTTAAAGAAGTTATTTTACAGTTATTTTAAAGGGAGCATTCTCACTGCCTTCCCGTTGTTTGTGACCCATTAATATTATGTTTTCTTCTTTCTGAACCAAATGTTGTTTTACCCTCTCAAATTTCTCTCAGTCAAGAAGCAAAATGTTTTTTTTTTCCCAAAAGGCTATCAAGGCCAGGCCAATTTGGTATCTGGAGGGAGAAGTCAGGCTGACAGCACCACCTAGTGGGCAACTGGCAAATAAAAAATAAGGGGTCCTCGGTGCTCTCAGCTTGCTTGTTTTCTTTTGCAGACGTTTCATTACCCAAATCAGGTAACATCATCAGTGCTAGTAAGGAGTGCTGTTTGCTGTGAGTTTATATTTTGTCTGTGTGGCTGTTTACAGCCCAACCATAGAACCTCTAAGACTACCCACACAGACAGAATATAAACTCCTTAGCAAACAGCACTCCTTACTAGCACTGATGTTGTTACATGGTTTGGATATCAAAACATCTGCAAGAAAACAAGCAAGCTGAGACAGCACCAAGGAGATCTCATTTTAATCCTGATCTACAAATGTTCTCCTTTATTGGTACAAATATAAAATATTCAGAAACAGAACTAGGATCAACAAGACTGAGTTATATATAGGTAGCATTCGACTTATGCCTTATTTGCTTAATGACCAAAGTTAACATGGCACTGAAAAAAATATGATGTACAACTGGTCCTCGCACTTACTAGTGCCCTCGTGGCACATGATTGCATTTGTGACTTTCTGAGCCAGCTTCTAACAAGCAAAATTGATGAGAAATGGTGACCATGGTGATCTGGCTTAACTGCAGCAACAAAGGTCAAAGTTCAAGCAATTCCTAAAACCCATATAATTGTTTTCTACACAGTCATTCTTCTGATTTTATTTCTGTCCTCCTACTTTCTAAAAATTGGCAGTCGTCATCCATAACAGAAAAGGATAGCTGTCCTTACCCTTGAGGTACAGATAACTTCTCGAAGATTGATGTTCATCCAGTTATCACAGCTAACCAAGTGGCCGTTGTAAGTTTCACCATTTTTGAGTTCCACCAGCTGGAAAAGCAAAACAGGCAATATAAGAAGAAATTCAGTTTCAAAGGAGTATTTAATTAGAGGGGTGACTTTAGAACAACTTTGAATGTTCCAGTCCTGAAACAAAATAGGCCATGTGCATCAAGGGTGCATTTTTTTTTTCCAAAGGCAACTGGACTTTTCCTTGATGTTTCACTTCTCATCCAAGAAACTTCTTCAGGAGACATTTAGGTCAATATACTATAATTTTTAGTGTTTTGACTGTTTCACATACTGCAATTGGATTTTTAAATAGTATTTTTTCAGCCTGGTTCTTGTCATTGCTTCAGAGCGGGTGGGAACATCTGGAACTTGGGAGTGCTGGTACAAAACAGCATAGGGGCCAGTGAATATCCACGAGGGACTAGTTTCTAAAGCTGCAAAAACAGGGACACACATACACAGGACTATGCATTTCATTTAGTGGTTGTTAAAAGTTTGTGAACTCTTTTGAATTGCCAATGTTTCTGCATAAATGTACCTAAAACATGTATTCTCCATATTTTCTAAAACTAAAGAGAACCCAACAAATGAATCCAAAACATGACACTTGTCCATTTATTTATTGAGGAAAATAATCCAAAGCTACATATCGAAAATTCAAAAAGACTCACAAACTTTTAAGCACCACAGTAGATTAATGCACAACTACTAGGATAATGTTGGTTGGGTTTGGTGAATTTGAAAGATGCTTTCACAACACACATGTAAAAATACAATAACTGTGCATTTGTACTACTAGACTGATAAATTTAACTGACATGTACAGTCTGGGCATGCTTTTGTACCTCATCAGCAATTAAGTATTTTCTAATAGCTAAAAGCCCTCTCTATCTGTAAGCAAAAGAAGCAGTGAGGACCAATATAAGGATTTTGTTTGGCTGTCCCTGGTAGGAACTGTACTGGCTGCCAGATTTAGTTGCAACTGAAGGCATTAGGTGTCACCTTTAAAGACTTGCATACCTCCAAGCTGAATCTGGCCAGGGACTCACTGGGGGTTGAAAATGGATCTATCTTTGATAACTTCCTATATGGTGGATGGCAGCAACCTGATATCTTAAGAGACTTTTCCAGAAAACTGGTACTGTCACTAGAAGCAGTTATCTTCTGCTCTCTTTATGCTTTTTTTTCCCCGGATCCACTGAGAAGCAATACCTCCTGCTTTATTTATGTTTTTCTCTGGATGGATCTAATAGGTCAGATTAGTTTCAGACTAGAGTAGGAAAAACTCTTTTAAGTACACAAATGCAGATCCATGCAAAATTTTATAGTTCAAAACCAGCATCACAAGTGGCATTAACATTGCAAGCCATTCAACATCTCTGGGAATGGAACAGTTTATCAGTTATAACACCACTTAAATTAGCATGCTTTCAATTACACTATTAAGCACCTTTTATTATTTGAAAATTGTCCACTTATGGGCCACTAAATGAGCAAGTTTGATATTCATGAACACTACAGTGTATATTATATATTAATATATCATTAAAGAGTACTTTCATTTTAACATTTTCAGATTGCTTCTCTTTGTTATAATTAATTCTGGAAACTTTGTTCTCCTCTTTGAAAAGATTAAAAAAAATTGTATTATTGGTCTTCTACATGCTATATATCTTTATATTTTAGATTACCCAGCAAAATATTTGTAATATAGCATATAAAGAATGGTTTAAAATAAATGCAGAGTGCTTACATTTTAAAAGTATTTTATATAAATGCATTGCTTTGCTTATTTATACTACGGAAAATCTTTACAGGCCAATAGATATGGAAACAGAATGTACAATAAATTGGCCAAAGAAATACTGTTTTCTAAAATTGTACTAATACATTTTTTTCCTTTGAAAAAAAATCAAAGCACTATTAGCAAATTTCTATTTTTAGACACTAATTGGAACAACAGCTTTGCTAAGCATTAAATATTTGCAGGTCATTATCTGATCCTAACATAAGATATATAATACATAGAAGTCATAAAAAGCATCAAGAGCTACAGCAAATACAGGTAGTCCTCAACTTACAAAAGTTTATTTAGTGACCGTTCAAAGTTACAATGGCACTGAAAAAAGTGGCTTATGACTGTTTTTCACTCTTATGACTGTTGCAGCATATCTCCATGCTCATGTGATTAAAATTCAGATGCTTGGTAACTGACTCATATTTATGATGGTTGCAGGGTCCCAGGGGGTCATGTGATTCCCTTTTGCGACCTTCCAACAAGGAAAGTCAATGGGGAAGCCAGATTCACTCAACAACCATGTTACTAACTTAATGACTGCAATGATTCACTTAACAAGTGGCAAGAGAGGTTGTAAACCAGGGCAAAATTCATTTAACAAATGTCTCACTTAGCAACATAAATTTTGGACTCAATTGGGATCATAAGTCGAGGACGACTTGTACTTTGAAACTTCACAAAAGCTTTCTTTACAATTAAAAGACTTACACTTTGATCCTAATAACCAAGTCTAATAACTTACCATTGGGTGGTTCTGTGCCGTTTTCAGCAAGGATAATGGAAGCTGTAATAGAGAAATTGCAACAGCTTGAGAAACATGCCCAGTGTATAAATAAGCTCCCAGAGCAATTTCATCTTGTAGGGTTTTTTTTTTTTTTACAATATTTGCTGTCCCTCTTGTAAGGGGACTGCCTTGCACTGTGAAGTACTCCTCCTGCTCTCAACAAAAGTAGAAATGGCATCTGGATCCAAAACCATCTTCCTATTGTAGCCTATTCCCATTATGCTCCACAAAACATCAACAGCATCAACACAACGGAAAGATAATTGCCTTGTTTTATTGTGTGTTCATCAGCAGCACATTGTTTTCAAATGGACTATCTCTGAAGATCAAGGTTTTCATGGCTAGCAACCACTGACAAATTCTAAGTTTGAGGTATTTTAAGATGGAAATAAGTTTCAACCAATCCCTCAGCTCTAATGTTTATGAAAAAAAGATCCTTTCACTGCTTTCCTTTAAGCAGCTAGCTAGACTAAAGAGTTCTCCATAAACCAGCAGATCAAGCCTTTCACTGCCAAATTCGGTTAGCCATAATGGTATTAATCCAATAATAGTTTTTATATTTTGAAAACTAGATCAACATTGTCTCAATTTCTAGAACCATATTGGAAGAACTCAAATTAAGGACGATGGACGACCAAAATTGTATTTAATCCCACATCAATAGTATTTCTTTGGCTAACAGACCAAAACTGCATTTAATCCTACATCATAAACAGATGATGATGATATGAAGCTTTACAAACACCAACATCTTTTTGCTCATGCTAAGGCAAGATATATTTCCAGAAAAACCCTTCAATTATCTTCATTGTAAACCATAAAATAATCAAGAGTAATATTAGCAGGTACAGTAACACTAATTTTAGATGCTTTAAACAAATCCCTAATAGACATTTCTTCCAGTCAAGGCTTTTTATAACTATAAAAAAGCAGCACCATAAAAAACAGCTGTAGATCAAATTAAATATCTACAGTTTAATAACAATTTCATTTTCATGATTCATGCAAAAAGTACTCTTTCACAAAACAAGCTGGCCCCCGATTCTTTACCCTGCTTTTAGTTCCATAATCCTAGCCCAAGCTCAAACTCAGCAACCCATGCTGCTACTCAGTGAATCCTACTCACGAAGTAAGAAACAGCCTAGCCACATTTTACAAAGGGGCGATCCTAAATTCATGCTTGGAGAGCAAGCTTCCTTAAGGGCAGCACACAATTATTCTTAACCTAAATGGTGCTGGGATAAGTAGCCCCAATTATCCTTAAGTAACCGTGAGGCTCGATAAGTTTAATTCGTATTCTTAAGCCTTGTGCTAAAACAGAAACATATATATTTTTGGCTCCCTTTTCCCCATTCGCAAGTCTCACCATCCTTCTATCTGCTATGCCACAGTAACGTCAACTTCTACTTCCGCCTGCTGGACTTCCGCCCGCCTTAAGCCAAGACTTAGTTCTACAGCCAATCAGCATATAATGCCGGACGACCAATGAGAAGCTTCCGTCGAGGCTCCTGAAATCCAACCCTAAAGGAGACGTACAGTATTTTATCTCTACTGTAGCGCATGCCTCGAAGGGGAGGGGGTAATAGTACCCACAATGCAATGCAAGCCATAACTGGGATCTTCTGTTTCCCTTTAACGGAGCAAGAATTTGCGCTTACCTGCCAGGGCTTATTTTATACATGTGCAATATCATTTTTTGTGTGTGGAGAGTTTCTGTGTTTTCTCTTGCCTGCAATCAAGCAGAAAGTTTGTTTAACTTTAAATAAAACTGTAATTTCTGTAGTCGTGTATAAACAATGATGTGCATGCATATTTTGAGGTAATTCTGTATAGGATTTTTAACATTACTTTGTAAGAATCGTACAGGTGAAAACTTCCCGAGTTTTGCAACCCCTTTTCTATGACAAAGGAAAATAGTTACAAATTTGCTATGATGTCATTCAACATAATCCAGCATAATAAAATATAGCAATAATTTAGCAGAAATGATGCATACAGTATTGGAAATTAAAATTGAGAAAATTTATCCAAAATAACGATGCATTGTGCTGCTTTGAATCAGAGATCTAGCATTTTTTATTGATGTCTTAACATTTCACTTTAACCTTGATAATCAAACTATCTTTTAATATGGTGCATATAATATCACTAGCTGGATACTTGTGCTTTGCTATGAAACTAAGTGAAAGGGCTTAGTTTTTGGGGAGGAAAATAAGGAGAAAAAAATTCTGCCTCTGCCTACCAGCATCCATTGGTATTCATCTGGCTAGTGTCCTGTCAGTGTGTGAGAAAGGGCTGCTTGGAAACTGAAGCAGTATTTGCTGTGTGAGCGAGGAGACAGCAAGGAGCCTGGGCGTGCCTTAGGTCAACTCTTCTGTACTAAAGTTGCTTGTTGCTCTAAAACTAAAACTCCTCTGCTTGTGTTTTGCAGGTGGGGAGGGGGAGTAGAATTCCTTAGCATCAGAGTGTGTTAATATACAAAATATTGTGGTCATTTTGAAAAATCCTTTCTTAGTGAGCACCTAGAAGCCAAGTGGAACATACATGCCAAATTTCAAGTTTGTAGGCTTTACAGTTCTGGAGATTTTGTGGTGATTTTGCTTTTATATATATGGTATTTTGCTTTTATATATATAGATTAATGCTCTTAACGATATTCTCTAAGAATGCATCAATCCCGCTTTAAAGACTTGGGTTATCTATTCAGTCCATGAAAAGAACGTCAGACTGCAAAAAATGTAATGGAAATGTCTTTCTTAGATTTATATATATTTAGACAGCTGCAAAAGTCAATCAACTTTGGTTAATTCATAGAATCATAGAAAAGAAAAGGGTCACTGAAGGTGGCTTTTAGTTCACTGCAGGAATCCAAAGGAAAAAATTCTTGACAGATGGCTATCCAGCTGCTGCTTGGAAAAAAATTCAGTGAAGAGACTTCAATGAAACACTATTTGTCTTGGTAACTGATTCTACTCTCAACTGCATTCTCTAATTAGGATATTTTTTCCCAATAGTACCATTCAACCAAGAGCCATTTTGGTGTAAAATAGTGTAAAAGCATAAGGGCACACCAGACAATGTTTTTTCAATCTTGGTAACTTTTAAGATGTGAGGACTTCAACTTCCAGAATTTCTCAGCATGGGAGTTGAAGTCCCTACATCTTAAAGTTGCCAAGGTTGAATAACTGCTGAAGATTCATTTTAAGCAGAAAGCCATTTGTGGACTTGGGTCAGGAAAAAAAGCAATGACAAACCAAGTCCAAACATATTGCCAAGGCTAATCCCAGCAGTTAACAGGAGTCAAGACTGACTCAAAGACACACACATATACATCACCTATTCAGCTGAAAAGTACCTTCACCTAAATTTAATAGCATTTTTTTTAAAGTAACACAATTATATCCCATCTCAGTCAACTTTTCAAAAAACTAAAAGCAAATCATAAATATGAGTTATTGTTTTGTGTGAGCTGAATCTCACTGTTTAGTGGGAAATTATTTCATAATGGGTGGGTGAAAACATTAACAGGTGTTTTAATAAAGAAAACTTCAATATCTCTGTTAGAAATTGCCAATCTTTACAACCTTGATTTAAGACATATGTTTGCAAAAGTTGCAGTGTGAGAACTGGATTCCAGTGTACTTTCCCTTTCCCTTTCCCTGGATGAAAGGGCCCCATTGATTTATCTCAGCATTTATCTAATCTTTTAGGCAGATTTGTTGTTCTGGAGAAAAATAAGAGGGCCTGTTAAATATATCTTACTGTCTTGAGCTCTTAAATGAAAGTTTGGAAATAAACACATTTTACATTTAGTGCAAACACCTGAGAAGATCTTTGCCAGAGAAAAAGGATACATATACAGATTAAACATCAGGCAGTTTTTCCTGGAAAAAGTAGTCAAGCAGATCAATGGTATCTAGTAATTGTTTGCTTCAAAATCTTTTTCAGACGATATACACTAATAGTAACAGGAATGCAACCTTTGTTCTTGCTATGATATTGGCTGGGTTTCATTACATAGTTTAGGTGACTCAGCTGCTTATTACAAGCACTGTAACTAAGATAAAGTACAGACAATTGTGACAAGTTTGATTTCTCGTGGGTTAGCTGAGCAATACAGCATATACTTTGTGTGCAAAAGGTCTACCTTATAAAGCTTGGGGGGGGGGGTTAGAAAATATTTATCCAAAGCTTTAGAGAGGTGCTGCCACTCTCTAAGGGTAACAATAATGAATAATTGTACTGATATTCTAACTTGGCAAGAATGCAGCTGAATAGATCTAGGCTGCAAAAAGAACCAAGAACAATATGCTATTCATCTGAATTTTTGAGGCATTCCCATACATTTATTTTTTTTAAATTTTTCTTATATGTATCCATGTATTCATAACTATGTTTTTACTTATACCTATTATCTTGTAAGCAACAGACAAATAAAAATAAAGTATTAGACTAAAGGTTAACTACAACTCCCAAGGGACTTTGGTATGGAAGTCATGGCCCTTAATCGGTGCAGTTTAGCACGGACGATGTGCTGATGGAGCAGAACCTCTCCTATCCTTCTGTACTGAAGGAGATTGAGAAAGAACGGGCACTATTAAAAAGCAAGGGTATAAGTGTGCTGTGCCACTCTAGCCTTGCAAACATTCTTCGTCTGTGGTTTTTCTTCCTAGCGCTGTGCCTCCGCCTCTTTCTGCCCAGAGTGGGTGGGGCCTGGGTGTGGTCACGCGATCTCCTCCAATGGGCGGGGTCTAGGCCCTGAGTGGGGAGGGTTTGCTGCTCGCTCCTTCAGTCAGTCGCCTCAAGTTGGTCGGGCAGAAGAGAGCGAAGGAAGCAAAGCCATGGAGAAGACCCGGCGGCCCGTAGTGGTGACTGGTAAGGGCGGTGGACAACAGGAAGGGGGAGGCTGTGAGGAGTGGGATCATTCCAAAGGGGGAGGGAAGTGGAAGGTTCGAGGGTTGAGGTTCGTCTTCCTCCCGCATTAAGTAACCCCCCAAAATAGTTCCCCTTTTCTTTTGGTCCCAGCATGAACCTGACATTCCTTGAACCTGCTGGTTAGGGGAGATGTATAGTGTAAAATACGCCCCTTCGAGTAATTTGTTCCTCCTTTATTATTCCTCAATAAACTTTCTCTTTTAAGCATATAACAGTGGGTCGTCCTGGTTTTGTTTGTTTGTTTGTTTATTTTAAACTCTGGATCTGGTGTTTTCTGCTTGAAATATTTCCCCCTTCCCTCCTGAATGTTGCGTTCTCCGGATTATTGATATTCCGGATTAACTGGACCGAGCAATGCAATCTTCCTTAAAAACGGTTCCGTTTGATTTATCTACGAATGTACCCAACCCATGACTTGCTACCCTTGTTCCTCTTTTAGTGCCTGTCTCTCCCGTAAATCTTTTATTCTCTTTTAATTTTCCTTAGCCTTGCTAACTCTCCCTCTTGTAAATAATGGCCCCAGAGACTGTTGCCAACTAGTGGGAAGCTTTTTGTCATGTTTGTTTATACTTTTTTATTCATAATTCTTCATCTGTTTTCTACAAAAACTTGAGTTTATTGGAAATGAATGTTTGAGGGCGGATGAGCAAGGAGGCTCCTTAGCAAGTAGTTGATGAAGGGAGAGGAGAGGAGGAGTAGAAAGGATCCCTCTCTGTGTAAGATACACATAAAATGTGTGAGGATCTTTTGGTGCTAGTTCTCACTGCATAACCTCTGGTGTGACTTGTTTAGCAGAAGGTTAGGGGTTATTCTGATATAAAAAGTGTGTTGCCATCATTTCAAGGTGGTGCTGCTACTTGTTGGTAATATGGTAAATATTGTCCCTCCTCTCAATGTTTTAAGGGGGAAATACCTGATTGTTCTCCTGGGAGAAAAATCCCATGAAATGTGAAGTACAGCACTCTCTGTGTGGACATTTGCCTGTGGGGGATCTGCATATTGGTTTTGTGTGACAGCTTTTTCCCCCTCCCCGTCTACCCCTCTCTGCTGTTGGACACCTTCCTTCTGTTCCCAAAAGACAAGTCTGATGGCAGCTGGTAAATCTGAAGTCATTCAAGAGGTCTTAAAGTCACATTCTCTCTTCCCCCCCCCCCCGCCCCCATGTGATTCCCTCTGGGTCCTGAGCTCCTAAATCAGTGTAGCCCCCAAACCACACCCTGGTAACAGTAGGATTACTTTCAAAGGAAGAGTGACTGCTTGAAGCTTGCTCAGAGCCCTGCAGTAGTTATTTGAAACAGCAAGTTGGGCTAGAGAGGAGGGGCGACATGAAGTTGCGGGAAGGAGAGGCCCATCTCTGAAAGGCTTGCGGGGCACAAAAGGGGGTTGCTATTAGTGGTGAACAGTCTTTTGACTGAAGGATGCAGCTCCACCTGCCCTGCCCATCAGTGGCTGGAGTTGTGGCAGTAGGGAGACGCCCTTGGGATTTACTGATACAGCCTTAGTTGGAGCTGAAAGAGTCCAGTGAACTCTTGGCAGGGGTGCCAGGCGATGATGTCTCCTTGCAGAGGCTGAGATGCGAGCTTTCTGGCAAGCCGCAGTTCATGCTCCATGGCATGAAGTAGCCACACACCTGTGGAATATAGGATGCAAAGCAGTTTTTTCCAGACCCGTTGTGTCCTTGTCAGGATAAAACCTTCAAATAGTCTGACTGGTACCTATGTCGTTGGCATGCTCCGATGCATCAGCTCATGCCAAGTGCCCTGAATAACATGTGCATGTCCGTGTAGCTCCCTTCAGGATCAAGTTAATCCCATAAAAATCTGGCAGCTGGGAGCAGCTGGTTTCCTGCTAATTGGCCTTGGTGGCTTCTAGTAAGAAGGTGCCCAAAGGGATTCCAAAATACTCTATTGATTCTTATCTGATAGCAACATCATTTGGTTAAGCAAGAAAGAAGGGAGCACAAAGGAGCCTTCTGCCTGGGGGGGGGGGGGGTGGGGAGGGGCAAGGGGGGCTTCTCTTCATTTCTTGGTGCCTTGTAGCTGGCACCTGTAGAACGTCCAGTTCCCTGGAATTATAGATGGCGTTTACAACTTTGTATTTTCAAAAAGAGGAAAGAGTCTTGGAACATACCTTTTTAGAGAATTAAAAACTTTGATATCAGAACAGATGTACCTAGTTTGTCTTTAAGTGGTTTTCTCTGGTGAGTACAATCAGGCACAGAAACCTTGGTGAAAAACCTTTTTTCCCCTTCCTGACAACAAAGAATATGGAGAACTATATATAGTGGGCATGCTGGCAAAATACTGCCATTTGGGGAATGTCTTTGAGGGATTGGCATATATTGACGGATGTGACTGGGTCAAATAATAAGTCTGACTGAGTTCACATGTTGCACTAAATGGAATTAGTTTAACCATGGTATAATCAATGAACCACAATAGGTTTAATTTACACCACATGTTGAGCCATAAATTGTGCTTTACAAAACGCAGCGGCTGAGTTCACACAACGGCAGCAAAATGATTCAAACCACATTGCAGTATAGTATGTGCAACCCCTTTTCTCTAAATGTGTCTTGCTTTTGTCTTGAAATCTAATGTTAGAAATCTTGTTTTTAATTATTCGGTATCTCTTTGCTCTAACATTGATACAATCCAGATAAATTGCTTCTGGAATTATACATGCTAGTTTCCATATATCATTGGGACACAAAGAACTTACTTAATTTTTGCTGTTTATTTGTAATAGTTTGTAATGGAAATAAGGCTTTGTGTCTTACTTGAATACTTATACCTGACTTAGAAACCGTGTTCTGCTATGATGGATAAAAATGCTGTTGTTGGTAACCAAGAGTTTTGTGTGGTAAAGTAGGAAAAGTTAATTTTTTTACATTTAGGCATTTTTAATGCCTGTCCATTCTGATAGGCTATTTTTTCTTTTATTCTTCCACCTGGTGCTTTAGGAGCAATGGGGCAGCTATTCAAGCATAATACACATAGTCCTCAACTTATAACCACAATTGCTACCAAAATGTCTGTTGCTAAGCAAGGCAGCTGTTCAGTGAGTTGTGTCCCATTTTATAACCTTTTGCTACAGTTGATCAGTGAATCGCTGCAGTTGTTAAATAAATCTGGCTTTCCCCCTTTGACTCTGCTGTCTGAAACTGTCTGGGAAGATGACAAATGGTGATCACATGACCTTGGGTCAATGCAACTGTCATAAATATGTGCCAGTTGCCAAGCACCAGAATTTTGACCACATGACCATGGGGATGCTGCAGCAGTCGTAAGTTTGAAAACTGGTCCTAAAGTCGTTTTTGTTTTCAGTGATGTAACTTCGAACAGTGACTGAATGTCTGGAACATTTTTACCTTTACTTGGGGTAGAACATCTACAAATACCAGTTATGGCTTGCTGGTTAACAAAGTTATTCATTAAAAAGCCAAAGCATGCCATTCTTGCTTTGAGTTTCAGATACTGTATACCTATATTCTTTTGGAAATCTGCTTTTCCCCAAGAAAGTGCTTAGTGTGCAAAACCCGATATGGAAGACTTCACACCAGATAGATTTAAGGAAAGGTTTTGTTTTCTTTGACAAACTGCTGAGCAACAAATTCTCTGGGAGGTTAGAAATAGTTAATACAGAAATGCATCCTAGAGATATAAACTGGGTTTATACACTGTATTTGCTAACCATTGTTTGCTGAATTAACTAAAACATAAGCCTTGACTTATAAACTATGATGACAAACTGAATTATGGCTTAGTGCAACTGGAAACCTTGTCACTCTGTACCTCAGTTTTACATAGTTTGAAAATCTTTGAAGCGGAAATAGACTGACCTCTTGTAAATGCTGCCAATCTCTTGGGCTGGGAGTATGATTGATCTTATTTTATTTATATTTATTAACTTTATATCCCATCCATATCACTGTCCAAGGCAGAAGGGCAGTGGGGAGAGAGAGCAAAGCAAGAAAGTTGGGAAGGCAACGAAAGTGAGCGAATTCACCTATGATATATGTGCAATACTTTGAAATAAATCCCATGGAGATTAGTGTATTTACTTCTGAGTAAGCATTCATAAGAGCGTGCAGAATGGATAACTGATCGAGCATGATATCAAGATATATTTATGCTTATGTGAAAAAGTTATGCTGAGGACAATACATTCATTTTAATTTTATATTGCTCTTCCTCCCGAAGACATACAATATCAAGAAGTACAATATAGAACAATGCTGTATATTTATTTGACTTTAAAGTACCACCACATTTTTAAAAAATAATGGACTCTTCAGGTTGTGGAAGAAGAAAAAAACTAATTAGGATCTTTGAGGGGAAGTGTAATAAACATTAAAAAATATTTTTCAGTCCATATCAGGTGACTTTGAACCATGATGTATAAGAAGCTGTGTGAGATCACAGCAAACTATTGATCTAATAATGGAGAATCACTTTGTTCTCCTTGAGCTATGTAAAGTCCTTTCCTTCTTGGAAGCTTCAGGCATTGATGCTTATATATTTCCTTAATTTGTAGAAATTCCCAAGATAGTTAGAGCTATGCCTGTTTTCTTAAGTTTCATTGAACAAAGTATCCATTATTTTTTAAGTACTGCAAGCATGCCCACCTGCCCAGGACTAGGGTTGGGTGTGTGTGGGTAAGTAGGTTTAAGGACAACACAGACCACGTAAGTCTGGCCTTCTGACTAAATTGATTAACCAGGAAAAGACAACTGCCTGTGAAATTAATTGGGCTAATAAATAAGTCTCTGTTCATGTGCAACTTGTGTAATCTGAATTCCATCATGTTCTTGGCAAATCTCTGTAGCTGCTTCTAACTAACTTGCTATCAATCACATTTCAAACAGTCAGAGTAATGAAGAAAAGGTCTATTTTTTTTTCAAACTTTTAAAATGGGTCTTTAGCAAAAGTCATGGGTCAAGGAACTCTGGGCATGTCCTATCTGGTTTGCCCGTCATAGTAAGCTGTGATTTGCTTAATTGTAATAAAATCCAATTGTGTGTATGAATTTTGTGACCAAGTTCATACAACACAAGCCAAAAGCAAATTAACAATCCCTTGCACTAGTATAGTACGTGAACTCAAAATAGTGAGAATTTCATGGTGGTGCAAAAGATGCAGGAAACTCATCTTCAAATCTTTAGAGAAAGTTCATTAGGTGCCTATTCTTTTTAACCTCCTTTAAAGTGTAGTTTGGAAGTTGGGAGAGAGAACCAATCCTGACGAGAGAAAGAATGTACAATGACCTATGATAATTACATGGTGTATATTGATGTACATGATCTATAAAACGGCCAATTTAGACTGCTCGTTAGTGCCTAAAAACAAAATGCCATCATGGTAAAAAGAAATCTTTTTCTATGATTTCAGGGTTCGGTCCATTTGGGGAGTATTCTGTCAATGCCAGCTGGATCGCAGTTCAGGTAAAAGACATATTTTCAAATGCTTCAGTCATAATAGCATTACTTTTTAATAACTCATTTCTCCAACAATGGTCCATTGACTATTTAAGCTGGATTCCAAGGAGTGATCCTTCTTGACTTTAAAAAAAAACAAATCATAAAGCCAGCCTTAAAGTTGAATTTGATTAGTGGTGACTGTATCCATTCGGTTTTCATGACAGAGTTATGGTTGTGCTTTGTCCTTGCCTCCTCCTGGCCTGTCTTCTTGACTTCACAGTTTGGAGTTTTTTCAGGAACTTGCTGACTCCTCTAGAGAGTAATACTGTAATGATTTCTAGGCAAAAGGGGAATGTTTTCTGTCCTGTGTAATGATTATCTGCATGCTTGAAGATTCTTAACAGAAGTTAAGATTCTTTCAGTTACTTAAAATAATCCCAACCAAATTATTAACTAAAACTCATCAGCTAAAACACTTTAATGATCCAGTGATTCCAAAGGGATAAATCAGCATTTCCCGTTTAGATCATATTTGCTGATAGCATTTTTGAAAAATGATGGTGGAATATTTGCAGAGGCTAAGGCATAGGCAGAGATGAATGAATGTTCTTGCAGATCAGTGTAGATCAGGGGTCTCCAAACTTGGCAACTTTAAGACTTATGGACTTCAACTCCCAGAATTCCTCAGGCAGCATGGTATAGCTAGCTGAGGAATTCTGGGAGTTGAAGTCCACAAGTCTTAAAGTTGCCAAGTTTGGAGACCTCTGGTGTAGATGAAACTGACCAATTCCATGCATGAATATGTGGTTTTCTTTCTCTCTGTTACACAACTGTGTAACAACCACCTCTGCCAGACTAGACACCTGTGGGTTGTCATGAAGATGATTTGTGCTCCTGATTGTATGTGCGTGTGTTGTGGGGAAGCAGAGGAGGTAAGGTTCAAAGTTCTTTCTTTGGGGACACTTGGCTACTCAACTGGCCACATTTGAACATCTGGCACAGCCAGCTGTTAACAGTTGGGTAAGAACTTTCCTGTAAGGTTGAAAGCGCCACTGATGTGAAACCGAATGATGTTTTGTCAGGGTTACAAGGATCTGTTGAGAAAGCAGCTTCCCCAGGGGTTGCTCTGTGGGAAGACTGGGTACAGGAACATGACTTTGATTGAACAGCAACTTAACAATTTGGGGGGTGGGTGGAGGAATGTAGTTTTGCCATGATCTGTCATAGAAAATTATGCCTGAACTCAGCAACCACATCCGTGCCCTTCAATTCAAGAACAGCCCAGTAAACATAATTAGAATAGCAATAGAATTTAGACTTATATACCGCTTTATAGTGCTTTACAGCCCTCTCAAGGCGGTTTACAGAGTCAGCATATTGCCCCCAACAATCTGGGTCCTCATTTTACCCACCTCGGAAGGATGGAAGGCTGTGTCAACCTGGAGCCGGTGGGATTTGAACTGCCAAATTGTAGGCAGCTGGCTGCAGAAGTAGCTTGCAGTACTGCACTCTAACCACTGCGCCACAGAGGTTCTTTATTGTTATTGCTCCTTAGAATGCTAATGTCGGAACCCTGAAGTACAGGTAGTCCTCAACGTATGGCCACAATTGAGTCCAACATTTATGTTGCTAAGTGAGGAATTTGTTTTTGTCCCATTTTACAACTTTTCTTGCCCCCATTTGTTAAATGAATCACTGCAGTTCTTAAATTAGTAACACGGTTGTTAAGTGAATCTGGTTTTTCCCCATTGACTCTGCCAGTTAGAAGGTCGCAAAAGGGGATCACATGACCCGGGGATAACAGCAACCGTCATAAATGTGAGTCAGTTGTCAAGCATCTGAATGTAAATCACCACGGAGATTCTGCAACAATCATAAGTGTAAAACATGGTCATCATCTATGTAAACCGCTTAGAGAGGGCTGTAAAGCACTATAAAAAGTGGTATATAAGTCTAAGTGCTATTGCTATTGTTCACTTCTTTCAGTGCTGTGGTAACGTCTAATGGTCACTAAATGAACTGTTGTAAGACGAGGACTACCTGTCCTTGAAGGTACCATAGATAATGTGCTGTCTTAATTGTCTTGGCGTCTAACTTCCTGGAAATTCATATATAACGTAGAAAGTGTCATATATAATGTAGACTGTCAATGCTGCCAGTCCAAGCTATGCATGAATTGTTACTGTAGCCCAGGGGTGGGCAAACTTTTTGGCTCGGGGGCCTCATTGACTTTTAAAATTTGACAGACAGGCCGCCACCTGGTGTCGAAATGCCTGTCATTACAAGTCAAAATCAAATGAATGCAATCATTCAATCATTCACATCAAACCTTAATTCTGTACCAATCTTCGGCGGGCCGGATTAAAAAGACCAACGGGCCGGATGTGGCCCCCGGGCCGTAGTTTGCCCACCTCTGCTGTAGCCTGATGCTGGCCTTACCTTGAAGTTAAACAACTGAACTAGCTAGGATCCCATTACTAGATTTCATGTGCAGTCCAACACTGGTGTGTGTGTGTGTGTGTGTGTGTGTGTGTGTGTGTGTGTGTGTGTTAGGAAGAGATTGGACAACCATTAGTCTTAAAATGGTATGGGGTTTCCTGCCGGAGCAGGGGGTTAGACTAGAAGGCCTCCAAGGTCTCTTCCAACTCTGTTATTCTGTTGTTATTAATTTTGCGTAGTTCCTTCTTGGAAACGTTCTCAGTTATTTCTCTTTCCCAATACACTTTTCTTTCTTGGTGAATTCAGAGCATCTGTCAGATTTACAACTACACCAACTCGCCTCTATTCCAAGCTCTATTTTAAAGTTTTAAGATATTTTTCCTGAACCCCACTACGCCTCCCCGCATCCCCAAAATGTCCTCCTGCTGTACCTTTTCTATCCTGGGTGTAAATCCTGTTCTCTTCTTTCCCAGACTTGGTGTTCAGGAGGAGCAGGAGGGGCTTTTGTGCCATGCGTTTCCTCCTGAAATTCTCTGCCAACATACATGATTATACCGGTAATAATCTCTCAAATTTCCATGATACTGCCATTAAAAATGTGCGTTTGTGTGGTTGCGCCTCAGCCAAAGAATAGACACCAAACCATCTCGCTTGCCTTCAGTTTCCACTGCCTATCCTGCTACCTTCTGAAATTCTCAGGAGGCATTGAATCGTTCAATCCAGGTTTTTTTTTGCAAATAGAGCAATAAACGTAGGACTTTATATGCAGCGGAGATCTCCCAGCGTTTGCATTCTGCGCGCAGTGCTGTCCATAAGAATTAGGAATTTGCATAGGGTGAGCTTTTTCCTTTTTTTTTGTTTTTGTTTAGCTTGATATGATATGTTATATTGTGCAACTGTGGAGCTAAATGTGATCCTCCCTGAAAAGAACATTTCAGGCTAGCTCACCGAGTGACCTAAGGAAGTATCTCTTCTCCTTCTTACCCCTGTCTGTTTGCCAGTCCCCTCCCCTTCTGAGTTTGGAGCTCTGGGAATACTCTCCTCAAGTGCTTTTAAATTAACCCCCCCAACTCTAATCAATTGCTGCCAACTAATGGCAAGCCAGATGTCTGGCTTGCAGCTGTCTATGTTTTTGTCTCTACCTTGTTCTTTTTTAAAGCAGCTAGTTGTGTTTGATATGGTCCTACACTGTCTCTAGGGTGGAGGTGAGTCGCAGTTGAGATAATCCTGGCTACCAGCATGCATTGTGAAAGAGAAGAGTGTCCATTTAATACTGTGACTTGGTGAACTGTTACTGGACTCACAACCTTGAAGCCCAAATTAGATGCCTTTTTTATTAGTGTACAGCACAAATGTGTGCTGGGTTTTTAATTGTGTACATTAAGTCAATAAATCTTTATTTTTCATATCCAGGGGAGAGGGTTTTTTTGTATGTGTGTAGTCACACAGCCCTGTTCTTACATATATTTTCTTGGAAAGTAGTTTTTCAGGATTCAGTGCGACTTGCTATCTAGGGAAGTGTATGTAAGATTGTTTGCCTTAGTTAATTGTAGGGGATTTTTTTTAAGTGATTTGAATAGGTTTAAAATTTGCCCAAACTTGCATAAGTGTGCTGATAATATAGATGTTATTCTTTGGAGCTATTACTTAATTACTTAAGATGACATTTTGGCAGGCATTTTTGTTGAAGAGTTCAGTGATTTTTCTTCTCCTGTTGACTAATCTGGGATGTATGATCAAATGCTTCCTTTTAAAATGATTTTTATTGTAGTGGTGCATCGCTCTGAAAATTGTGTTTATAAAGTACAGCATAAACTAAATCTTAAAAGTTTGGAGGATTCTTCAAACTTCTTGGTTTCAGAGGCTTCCAGAGGAATCCCAGACCTAGCTGTCTCTTTAGCCTTCGTGTGAACCGAAGGTCACAAAATTCTTGTTTGCTGTATTTTGAAGGACACACAATTGTAGAGTTAGGGAAGGTGCAGAAAATGGACAATCAGATCAGGCAGTTGATGTGTTGAAGGACAAGCTAGTGTGTGTGAAACTTTTCAGTTAAAAAAAATAAAAATAGGGGCGGTAAAGCCATGATTGGTATAAAGAGATTGGTGGGAGGTAGAGTTTAGAATATTGTAATTCCTGACTATCAGAAGTTATCAGCTATGAAAAGTATATGTAGAGCCTCCATATTTAAAGAAGTGTACCTCAGATATGGATTTCCTGCTTTTAAGTCATGAGCTAGAAGACAGTGCCACATTCTTCCACGTTTCAGACCATCCCTAAGGGCTTGGAGTTTCGGTGCTGGGACCTTTTAGCTTCCTTTTTAAAGTGACAGCTGAGATTCTGATATGATAATGATAGTTGAGATTTTGACATGGATAAGTGTGTTGTGCAAAGAGTAGGTGACATTGCAAAGTTAATTGGGTAAATTAATCATGGTCCTTCCAGAGATATCTTGCTGACCACAAGAAATTATGTGCTGGATTAGGCATCTCCTTTCTTCTGGGTGAGAACTTCCTATGTTTTTTGGTGAGAATTGTGGAACACAGTATGTGCATCATATGTTGCTATTGCTGGCTGAGGCTCCATCC